TATGCATTGGTCTGCGATTTCGATATATAGAATTTTTTTTTTTTTTTTTTTTTTTTTTTTTTTTTTTTTTTTTTTTTTTTTTAGTGTCTTAAAGCTTAGACAAGGCAGAGTATTAATTGTACCCTGTTTTGTTAATGTGCAAAGAGAAAAAGAAAAACAGAACCAACACCGAAGTTCACAGTCCCAAGGCTCGCCGACCCCTGGTTCTTCATGTTCTTTTTGTGTATATTTCCGATATCCACTTCGGCCTCAATTCGGAACAGAACAAAAACAACAAAGACCAGTAATTGAGCCGATTTCCGATGCCTCGGCCTATTAGATATGCGTCAGTTTAAGCTGTTTTCTTCTTCTTTTTTTTTTTGTTGTGTGCCTGACAGTCACCTGACAAGTAGCCCTGGCCATGGATATCTCTGCCGAGTGCGGTGGCTCAGGTACAGTATGGTCTAAGAACCCTTTTACCGGAGTACAGCGAATTCCGCGCCCCATAGTGATAAGAAACCGTTGGACGCTCCACAATTCTTCTGCAGAGTTAAGCAATTGTTTGCAGAGTGCGTCTTCACATTCAGCTATCGATTGGAATGCTCGATAGGACATGCACATTGATGCAGTACGTGCTCTGATCCCTGCCAGGGGTACGGAGTACTCTGTCCGCAATACGCACTCTGCAACTCAAGCCCCCAAGCGCAATCGGAATGCTGAGTAATACTATGTTCCATCTAAATACCTCGAATCTTCAATAGTACGCAATAGACAAGTCCCACTTATCAATAAACAACAGTACGGAGTACCCGTACACTATTGTATATGACGGGTCAGGTTAGCGTGGCTCATATTTGAGATCCGGATCATAAGACGTCAGAGTGATATAAAAGGATTGGTTAGACTATAAGTGTATGTACGCCTCCAATTTCAAAGCCCAGCTAAACCATAAGAAGCCGAGCAAAGCGGTGGAGCTGTTGACGTTTCCTTCTCCGGATAGAATGAGGGATACAGCCCACGGTGCAGAAGAGATGCAGCCCAATCTTTATCCGGTACCTAATGTACAGTATGGAGCGAAGACGAAGGGGAGACTCTATTGTCGGGTATCATAACATAATGTCGTTCGAATATACAGTATGGTCACAGTTTGTTCGGCGGTTTGCCTTTGAACTGATCCTTAATCTCTTCCTTGAAATATCGAGCGAAACGCTGAAGACTATCATCTAACAAACGAACAGGTCAGTCTCAGACACAATCAAGAGCCCAACATCCTCGAGAGAAATGAGTCATACTATTCTTGTCGATATTGGTACCTCCCATCTCCTCGGGAGGTACACCATGACGAATGTGCTGCACCTTCTGATGGACTCTCCCAACCATCCGGTGAAACGACGGGCTGGCCAGCAGCTTCGGATCGGGCACCAGAGTCAGTTCACACCTCAACCAACCGGAACAGTGAAGTACTAGGACATACCCGGGCAGTAAGCCAGGCCTGTTCGGAGGAAACCGTCAGTCACATGAGACTTTCTGGGAGGCGAACTGTCAACGCACCTCGACAGTCCGAAGCCAGAACCAATGAAAACCCATCTTGACAAGACAATCAACCAGCTACATCGAGAACTATATTGATGTTGGTAGCAGCTCGCGTCTTTCGTGTAAGGGAGAACAGTGAAGAAAAAGAGGTTGGGCAAAAAGAAGGAGGGGTGAAAAAGAAAAAAAGCGGTGGTGGAAGTGGTAAACATTTTTTTGCCGCTTAGGAAAGATCTACCAATTAGAAGTTACATGCTACATCTCCGCCCCATGGTCACGAGACCAGGGCACTTCCGGAATGCAGATTGAGGGCAGAAAATAAGGGGTTGATTTGGAGAAAAGAGATCAGAGTAGTAGTAATAACAATAATGAAATTGCAGCAGAATAGAACTAAACAGTGCGATTAGCCGAGGGGAATTTTCTAGCGCGTCTTCCATTCTTCTTTCAGACTTCTTGAATCCTTCAGCTGTCCCCAATTCCCGGAACTTTGTTGCTTTTTTTTTTTTTTTCCCTCTTGTATACTTCCGAACTGCGCTACCTCAAAATCCCTGTCATCTCATTACATCAGTCACTGCTCTGCTTTCGTCGCGGTATTTCCGGTTGCATCCTTCACCATACCTAATATCTTGTTTGCTTGTACCGCATAATCGTCCCATTGGGACTTTCAGATCCCTTTGTTAAACACTTTATTTGCTTTACCTTTGCAGCTTCCTTCCCTTTTGTCTCATCGCTGTTTGGGCTAAGACTCCCTTCCCTTCTCGTGCGGGGAGATTTTGCGACGAGGGGTTTCCCTTTTTATTTTATTTTATTATTTTATTATTTTCTATCATTTATTTATAATCTTACATCTCACTCTCCTCTTCCTGCCGACGCGATAACCTTACCGTCTTTTCCCTGTTTCGTTCCTTTCGTTCCTGCATTATCCGGGCATTTTTCGCATCTCACCGGACCCTCTCCTCAATTCCTTCCGGGCACGGTGCAGGCTTCTTCGGGCAATACGCAATACAAGCCCGATTGTCCTGCGTGACGACAGTGCCCTTTTTTTTCCTCCCATACGCCATCTTCCTAGTTCCGCGCGATCTCAAAAACTGGCCAAGCAACGAGCGAGGGGCAGCTCTAACAGCTGTCCCGATCTGTCTACGCTGCAGATAACGCCACAGCAGCCCTTTCTTGGTGGCAACGCATCCTACGGTGTTCATATTGAGGCAGGAGCATCTGCGCAGCCGCTTCCCCACTCGCCAACGTCAGACATTGTCAGCGTAGGCGACGGTCCGCGCAAACTTGCGTCAACCAAGAAGCGTGTTTCCAACAAGGCGCGCGGCGTCCTAGGCAAGGTCCGGACCTTCCGTAGGATCGCTGCGGCCAAAATGGCACATCCCACGATCAAAATCGATACAAACATGGCCACCAAACGGGGCCACCCGGAGGACGATGACGACGGACTCGATGTTCTGGACGAGGAGGATATGGATAACCCCGAGCTAGAAGAAGGCTATGATGAAAATATACCGCCGTTCCTCTGTCAGTCAGTTTTTGGTTAGTTCTATAAAACCCACTTTGACGTTGGTAACACTAAGGACTAATGGTTACTTGTTGCATTCAGACATCTATCGCAAATTTGATGACCTTTGTTGGATGGAGAGCGTTCGTGCACATGAAGGAAGAGTCTCTAACGATCCCTTACATCGCTGGGCTGTGGATGAAGACCTTGAAGTCAAAGCAAGGAATCGATATGCCAATGTTCAAGCATGGGCAAACTCTCGAATCCACCTCCGGGTACCGGAGGGTGCATGTGATTATACCAATGCGTCACCAATCGTGTTGGAGGATACAGTAACCCTAGCGGAGAGACGATACATCGCAAGTCAGGTTAGTATCATATATTTGCCCATTTGCCTTTTCCAGGTGTTCAAGAGGAGTTGTCTAATAATCTCGTCTGTTCCTAATAGGGTCCAAAAGAGGGACATTTTCCCCACTTCTGGCATATGGTCTTCCATGAAAGCCGCGAAGTTGCTGTCATCATCATGCTAACGCAGACGTTCGAGTTAGGCAAAGAGAAATGTGCACAGTATTTTCCTCTCGACCTTGAAGATCCGACAATGCTACTGGAAGTGAATGAAGACGATCCATTTGTCATCGACGAAGAACATGACAAGGAAGATGCTACTATATTAGGCGAGGTTACCCTATTGGAAACCACTTTCGATGAAAAGTGTCGTTCTGAGATTCGCAAACTCGAACTGAGACTGGGTTCGGAATCCAAGATTGTCTGGCACTTCCTTTTTGCAGGCTGGCCCGACCATACCAAACCTGAAGGCGAAGACCGTGCAGCTCTTCTTGAGTTGCTTGATTTGTCGGCCTCCAAATGCAGTCCGAACAATCCGCGCGTGGTCCACTGCAGTGCCGGTGTTGGGCGAACTGGCACTTTCATTGCGCTTGACCACCTTCTCAAAGAACTCGAATCTGGACAGTTGTTAAATGAGACTGACCCAGAGGAAGACCCAGTCTATGAGACTGTCGATCGGTTGCGGGAACAGAGGATGATGATGGTGATCAATCCTTTGCAGCTGCAGTTCCTGTACGAAGTTCTGCGGGAGCAGGTCAATATAAAACTCGGCAAGACCACCGGATCTCCGAAAAGTACAGGAGATGAAAGGTCTCCGAAGATGGCCAAGTTGTCCAACAAATCTGATTTGCAGAATCACCCTTCAACCTCCGACAGGAGCTGGTCTGAAATCTCGGATACCGAATAACGCCTGTGCGCTTGACATCACACTATCAACTGGCTTATCTTCTCTTTCACCCTATGTGTTTTTCGGCGTTTCATTTCTTTGATACATGCGCTCATTGGCTCTTTGTTTATGACTGTTCATGATTTTCTGATTCGCATTGTTATGTCTCGTCCCTGTTATACCATCGCATGGCAATTATAATACCTGATTCACTCTATACCCTTCTTTCTCTATTTCCCTTTTCTGATCCTATTAGTGCACTTACGGCAGGCACATAATCCTTCAATTTGCCAGTTCGGCCTTTTTGATCATCGTTTCTCCTACCAATGCCTCGATTTTGCGTCTTTGCTCTTGTGCTTTGTGTGTCCCCAGACCTGCCATACCATAACATTTAGAAATAGTATAGATTAGCAGATGAATTGGTCATGAGCAATAATGACCGTTTATATTTGATGTGATTCTAATCTACCACGATAGGTGGGTGATAATTTTTGGTGAAATCCTGTCTTCAAAGGCAAGGTCATACATATAATGTGTAACATCAAATTGACAATAAGCATACACGGCATGAAAACGCTAGCAACAGAAAAGAGTGTACTCGTATAACGTAGTAGACATCATCATAGAGCTCAAAAGGGCACTGAAATGCTCAATCAAAAAAAAAAAAAAAAAAAAAAAAAAAAAAAACGAGGATGGCATAATACATGACACAAAATCGGATCAATCATAAGATGAAGAGACTGCCGCCCTCTTCTTGCTTTTAGGACTTCCCAAAAAGAATCAAAATATCACCAGAAGCAGGGCTATTTGAATCAATCACTCCGCTTTTTCCCCTCGTTATTTCCAGCCGTGGCCCCAGCACCATCAGTCTTCTGACCATGAGCATCGTTTCCATTCTCATCAAGCCTATCCTCCTCGTCCCAATTATCAACAGCATTCTCATCCCAATTATCCACCTCCTGTTCCAACGACATAACCCCATTCTCTTGCGGTCCCAGTCCACTCTCCTCATCACGCCCATGACCCGTAACACCTAACTCCACATCCTCCCCGTCACCCTCTTCATCAGCTAGTGCCCCATACCTCGCCTTCCGCCTCCTCTCCAACATCCGTCGATGATACCATCCGCACAGTCCCACCGCACCAAGACTACCCACTAGATTCGCAAGCAGATCGAGCGGGTCAAATGGCCGGTCGTTGGGGAGAAGGCCCTGCAGGATTTCGGAGCCGACGCCGAACCCCAGTGTGCAAATGAGGAGGGTTAGGTGCAGCGCGCGGCGGCGCGAGGTGTCGAAGATCCAATAGAATATTAGGGAGAGGAGGAAGAAGGTTATTAGATGTAGGAATTTGTCGTTTGGTTGAAGGTTTGAGGGGATGGAGGGGGAGGTATTGTGCGGGAGGAGGCCGGCGTAGGCTGCGACTAGGATGAGGAGGATGAAAGCGCCTGTATTTACTTTAGTGTCTTGTTCTGATGGGTTGTATGGTAGAGGAGAGTTTACCCGCGAAGGGGTAGCGGATTCGCATTATGATACTGTGAGTGCGCGATGCAATAGGGTTGTTATTTTGGAGTTGGAGAAGGCTGGCTCAGACAGCCGACGCTGGTGACGATAGTGATGCCTTCGGGTCATGTGCTGTGAAGTAGTAGGAAATGATTGATTGGTGGGGACAGATGTAGTGGTTGCAGGAGATCGTTCAATTGTTTAGCTATTCTGATCTTCCATCTTTACTATAATAGCAAAATAATCATCTTTACTGTTCATATCCTAACTGCTACCTTTCTCGACGGATGCGAACTGCGCGGTTGGTCTGAAACTGCGGCGGCCTTCCGCCTTCACGACTTCACCTCATCCGCGCAGAGAACCTTCTACAGCAGCGCCCATCTTCTCCATCCTCCTTTCCCACCAAAGCCATCATTTTAAGATTGGAAATTATCTGCATTCAAACCCCCGCAATCTGATTTATCTCTCTATGTCAATTTCCAGCCATAAAAACCTTTCGTTGTACCCTCTACGAACTTGATTATAACCGTGGAGATTCGAGCCCCCTCGCCCGCCCCAGAATCGGGGTTTTGGAGCGAGCATGTCGCTCGGCCACAACCACCACGCCTGGCTTCCGCCAGGAATCCCACGTCCTCCCGATGATTCTCAAGATTTGAAGCTTGCCAATGGCTATCCGAAATCTGCTTCCGGTTCGCGAACGCCTCTCGTGCGCGGTTCCTTTGTGGCCGACGGGTCTCACACGGGCAATTCGATATCGGAGACGGATGTCGCCGTCGAGGAGGATCCGCGCATTGCCATTTTTAGAGATCTATATAAACGCAGCGAGGCGAAAATAGGCTCGTTGTTTGACAGGGATCATAAAGTTGAGGATGAAGTCGACGACGCTGCGCTGCCCGTCGCGTATGTTGGCGACCCCGACACTAAGACCTTACGCGCTGACGAACCGGCCGCGCCTCCACCGCCCCCCCCAAAGAAGCCTGCGAGGAAGCTGGACGACGATGATTATGACGATTATGACGAGGAAGAAGAAGCGGAGGAGCCTTCTGCTGCTGAACCCGCTCAATCGCCAGTGAAGGCCAGGTCGTCGCTTGCCGCGCCATCATCCCAGGATCTTGGTGGTACCCCATCGCCGGGCCATCGTGCTAGTTTCGCGACATCTACTGGCGCTGAAGGCTCGAAGGAGGTGAAAAAGGAGACGCTTGAAGAGATTCGGAAGAAGTTAGAGGAGGATAAGAGGGCCACCGAGGAGGCTGCGAAGCGGAGCTTTCATACTCTTTTCTATACACTGGAAAATGATCGTGATGCGATGCTGGATCAAAAGCGATTGGAGGAATCAGAGCGACAGGTGGAGGCGGAGATGTCTGGACAAGCCAATACTGGTAATGACAACGCGAACTCGACCCAGAGCGGTTATGGTTCGCTAAGTAGCGCGAACCTGGGTGCTTCCAGCTTGACCTTAAAGAATCTGATCGCACGAATCGATATGAAGCGGACAATGGTTCAAGCATCAGACGCAGAACTCCGCAGCTTGATGAGTGAGGTTCGCAAGAACCGGAGCAAATGGGCCAGTGAGGATAAGATCGGTCAGGAGGAGCTCTACGAAGCAGCGGAAAAGGTCCTCAGCGAACTAAAGGCTATGACTGAGCATTCTACTGCGTTCTTGACTCGTGTCAATAAGCGCGATGCGCCTGACTACTACAACAGTAAGCGGACTCTCCTTATTCTTTCTCTTCAATCTGCAGTCATGCTAAGTCTAACGTGATAGTCATCAAACACCCAATGGATCTGGGAACAATGACCAAGAAGCTCAAAGCCTTGCAATACAGGTCCAAGCAAGAGTTCGTGGACGACCTGAACCTGATTTGGGCTAATTGCTTCAAATACAACACGACCGCCGAACACGTCCTGCGCAAGCATGCCATGTATATGAAAAAAGAGACGGAGAAGGTCGTTCCTCTCATCCCTGATATTGTCATCAGAGACCGTGCAGAGGTCGAGGCGGAGGAACGCAGACTTCAAATGGCAGATCTCGACGGTGCGGAAGAAAGTGACGACGAACCTATCATGTCTTCGAGGGGCAGAAAAGCTCCCGGCAAGTCGGCTGCTAAGAAAGGTGCTGCTCCTGCTAGGAACACTCCCAGTGGTTCTGAGCCGCCTGGTGCCGCATCCTCACAACCGCCGCCCCCTTTACGTGCGGACTCTCACGTCGATACGGAAGGCACGCAGAACGGATTCGGAACACCGCCACCAAGCACTCAGACCCCTGACCCCGCGGCTGGCATGCCCGCAAGCCAAGACGATTCCATGGAGATCGATGGCATGGTCACTTCCAACGCAGCGCTAAGTGCCTTATCCGCATCAGGCGTGGATGTGGAGGACCCGGAGTACAAGATCTGGAAGCAAGTCACGAAGAAGGATCGGGCTATAATCGCGGCAGAACGTCACCGTCTGTTCAAGGGCGACAAACTCAATTCTGACGAACCGGCTTTGCTTAGAACAAAGGCTGGTATGAGAAGATGGCTGCATAGCCAGACGCAAGCCCATCACGATGGCGATAAGACCCGTGAGTCTTCTCAAGGAATGGAATCTGATGCTGCCGGCAAGACCCTTGCGGAAGGCATTGAAGTGGAAGAGGATAAAGTGATTCCCGACTATTACGATGTCATGTCTGGCATTCCCGACCTACCTGACCAGATACTTTGGAGAGAAGATTCTGATGGAAACATTGTCGATGCGTCTGAAGAGTTTTTGCGGATCCTACCCAAGGGGTCATTTACTCAACCTGACAGCAAATTTACCCATAAGCTGAATGCGAATATGCGGCAGATGCAAGAAACGCGGAAAATCTGTTCGAAGATTGGTATTGTGAAGCAGATGCAACTGCAATCTCAAGTATGTTACTTTGCGATTTTCGTATTGACGAGAAATTCTAACACGCAGTAGATGTATCAAAACCAGTTCCAGAAGTACAATCCGGAACCATTCGTTGAACAAGACATCCCATCTCATGTGATGAACGACCAAGGGCCTGTGACTTCTCCCTGGATTTGCAAATCAGCACTCCAGCGCTCTGTCGCCAAGTTGTTCTACCATGCTGGATTCGAAGAATACCAGCCTTCAGCGCTTGATGCTGTCACGGATGTCGCATCAGACTTCTTTCAGAAGATCGGCGAAACCCTCAAGTCCTACATGGAGGTTCCGAAAATACCTGCTAGCGATTCGCCTGAGAGTACAACCCAGAACTCCCAATGGAAGCGGCCTTACACGGAGCCCGAGATTGTTCTCCACACCCTTTCCTCCGTCGGTATCGACATTGAATCTCTCGAGTCCTACATTAAGGATGATGTGGAAAGACTTGGAAGCAAGCTCGCAACTGTCCATGATCGCATGAAGTCCCTGCTTTCTGAACTTCTGCGTCCCGCTCTTGCCGAAGGTGGCGAAGACGGCTCTCATGCCTTTGCGGATGGAAGTGACCAATTTGCCAGCGGCGACTTTGCTGAGGATATTGATGAAGATTTCTTTGGTTTTAAGGAACTTGGATTGGATAAGGAGTTTGGACTGGCTACGTTGAGTGTTCCGTTCCATCTTCTGCAGAACAGGATCAGTGCCGTGCAGTCCCAGAACACGAGGTATGTTTGTTGTCTAATCTACTTTTTCCAAAAATCATGCTCATTTTTATCTCTAGTTCTACGCAAATCATCAACATCTTTCCCCCACCATCGCAATACCCACGCATTACGACTGAGTCACTATCATCGCAAATTGGGCTCGTACAAGAATTCTTCAAGAACAAGTTGGAGGCTCACAACAACGACCCTCTCGTCGAAGACCTCGAGCTACCGCCCAAACAAAGGCCAACAGCCACTCGACCTCGTCTTCCAGCGTCCGGCAAGATCGCCCCCCCATCTAATCTTGGAGGACCTACCTCAAGTCCAAGCAAGCGACCGGCGCCGCCAAGTGCTTCATTTGGTTCCAAATCTGGCACCCTAGAGCCTAACAAGAAGAAGATCAAGAAGAATAGTAGTGCGGGTATGGGTATCCCCGAAGACGAAAACAGTGGTGACATCGATGGCACGAAACCTGACTCCAATGCGAAGACCAACGATGCCAATGGAGAAGACGACGCTGCAGCTTCTTCGTTCGGTGACATTGGGAACTCGAAGAATGGTGTGGAAAATTCGGCCACTTCTGATGGTGCTGGTGAGCTTGATGAACAGGCGAACAAGGCCGGTGACGGCGCTGTGCCTCTAACCAATGGAACTGCGGGCGATGTATCATGATGTATGATTATGGTCGTTGTATCTTTCTTAGAACACTCTTGCGGATGTTTTGAGGAAAGATCGGTGCTATTCTCTTCTTGAAACATCTACTTTTGCGTTTTGTGTATAGTATCTTTTACTTTCGTCTCCCTCTCGTTTCTTTCTTCCTTCAAACCTTTATTCTACTTATTGTTTTTTGTATCAAAGGCTCATTCTCTTCTACGCGCATCTTTTATTCTATGGGTTTCTTTCTTTCTCCTTCCCTTTTGAGCTGCATATTTTATACAGAAAGCAGAACTTACGGAACGATACACCCTGCAAGCGTCTGGACTAATACCTCCTACCTAGCCAAGACACTGCAAGCGCCATTTCGAATAGAGCCCAGGTTCTTACAGCATACACCGCTACACATCTATCCTAATCTCACCTGGGTTGGCTGGTTGATCAACGCTTTTCTATGGAGTGTTACTCTGTCCCTGCACTTGCATCTATCTATCAGCCCATCATTTCACTCCCCTGCATGCTGTCCTATCTCATTCTTATTTGCGACCTTACTTTCACTCCCGAGTTCCGTTCATAAGGCTTTTTTTCTCGCTTGCACCGCAGGATAATCAAATATGAATCGATTGGCTGGGACTTATCGGTTGATTTACAATTGGTCCGGACGTCAGATTTGTTGATGTTAGAAGCATTAACATGAAACTTTCTTCATTTCTTTTCTTTTTCTATTTTTCATTATCCATTATTTTATTTTTGGGGTAATACG